CCCAGCAAAATTTGAAAATACACTGTTTGAATCATGCCACAAAACTGACATGTACAGTACTTCCATGAAAATCGCATCTCGATACAATACGATGACTATTCCAAAGTCTTACATATATTTTGTAATGAATCGCAACCTGCGCAACGGATCTTCTGTCCCACGTCCTGTACCACTCTCTATCCCATTTTTTATTATATTATTATTTTTCCTACATAAATATCACGTTTTAGTTCTTTTTTGTTTTCTTAAGATTCAATAACTGTTAATTGAGTAAAAAATAAATACAGTAGCTTAAAAAAAGTAATATATTAAAAAATACAGCAGAAAATTCATAAAAAATCTCATTTTTTATGCATTTTGGTTTTTTGAATTTGTTAAATTTTGTGTATTACTTAATTAATAGTTATTGGATTTTAAAAAAACAAAAAAGAACTAAAACATAATGTTTATATAGGAGAAATAATAATATAATAAAAAGTGGGACAAAGAGTGGTACAGGGCGTGGGACAGAAGATCCATTGTGCACAACCTGTTCAAAATTGTTATATCATCCATGAAGATTGCATCAATAATTGTTTGCGCCTATCTCCCTTATATTGTATAATAGTTCATCTGGTTGATGGAAAAACATCTTGGAAGGTAAAAGCATCATCGTATTGATCATAATGTTTAAAGCATCTCTTGAGCTGAAAAAATAAATTTTTTTTGAGGTACTCACAAGCAGCTAGCATGTAGATAATCACTCTCTCTTTGAATTCTCGTCGTTGCGAGATTCAGGATTAGGTCTAGCAGTTGGGGGTGGAAAGAGTGTGGGGAAGACTAGGAAATAAAAAAAAAGAAAGAAAGAAAAGGCAGATAATCACTCGAGATTGAAGGAAACTCTAGATCCTGATTAGGAGTTTCTTGCGACTACTAAGGGTAGGCAAAATTATCCACAAATCCAAAAAACTGACATATTTGATCCGATTCAAAAATTAAGATACCCTATCTGTATTATTTAATTGAATCAAAAGAGGGTCAGGTATCCACTAAGATGCGGGCGGGTTAGAATCACACAATCAAAAACCTACTGGTACCCAATTCGCCCTGCATATATATATATATATATATATATATATTTTATACACATACTAGAAAATAATATTTTTAGAGCTAAATAAGTTTTTTCATTGAATAAATTGCATTATAAATATAAGAGATTATAATTTATTTACAAGATTCATTTGTAGAGATCATGATCTTATGTTTTATAGAAAAGAGTTTAATTAATGTGGAATATATGTTAAAAAAATGTGCTACTTATTTCAAACTTTTATTGATTTTGAATTCTTTTAAATTTTTTTTTTTGTATTCTCTTTGCATGTTTGTTTCTTAATGGGAGGCTTTTTTTTTTGAGAAAAAAATCTTTATTAAATTTTAAATGAGTATGTAAAATACAAAATTAAATTAGTATAAATTATTTTTTTTAAAATTAAATGATAAGTAAGGTGGGGCGGGTACCTGTTGACCTGATCCTATCTCAGCGGATAGCTTATAACCGGATATCCACTTATATGCGGGGTAGATAAAAATCAGAAAATGATTGATCCACATAGTATGAGTCGGATCAGTCAAATGATGGACATGACGGGTACCCGACCGCGCATGTCCCTAGCGGCTACAATCTTCCAATGCATTGTACGCATCACACAACACCGTCGCGTGGGCTGGTGTAGCAAAGGAAAGAAGCTATTATCGGAAAAACTAGTTAAATGCTTAATTTGAAAATGGTACTTGGGCTTGCTTTAAGATTTCAGTTTTATCAAACCTTATCCTAAATCATATGTGTGGATGGGGTGTACCGCAGTTCAGATTTGATACCGTGTTGGAGAAACTGCGCTTAATTAGCATTAAGTAAAGTGGTCCAAAATATTGACCAATTTAGTTGAAGACGGGCCAAGTCAACGACGCCCATGCAATTCAATTGTACATTGGCATCACTAGTCAAGGATCAACTTGTCCGGCCTAGAAGACCATCGATACCTATGGATTAGATTGGAGAGACGGCAGTAGTACTCCATTCCATCAGCGTTCCCGCTATGGTGTAAATCGGGAAAGACATCTCTTCACTGGCGCTGGTTAGGTTTCGATTTATAGAATGTATTTTCCCAGTGCTGGATATGCACCCTAAATGCACTGGGGCAGTTGTAGGGACTAGTACTAATTAAGAGAGGGAGACTTGGCCAGGCCATGTCCATGTGAGAGACTGCACAACCATGTTCCCGCAAGTTGCATGAAAATGGACTAAAGAACTGTGGGGTTTAGGCTCACATGACAACCATCCTCCCCCCACAAATAGTACCAAAGCATAGTAGTACAAGGGGAAGGAGGTGGGATCCAACAAAGATATTCAGAGTCTCCCCCACAAAGATCACAGGGTTTGTTTAATGGGGGGAAGATTCCTCCATGGTTTTTTCCTTTTGTTTGCTTTTCTACCCAAAAGGAGAATATGGATGGACATCCATTCCAATTCCATTAGGGAATGCGCTAGCTGGAACTTACTTGGATAACTCTGGTTGTCTGACAAAATATGCATTTGCAACTGCGGGAGAACCAACACATCCATCCATCCCCCCGTACAGGTTTCGTACCCTTTTTTATACGGACTTTTTACACTATAGGATTTCAAAATGCACTAATCTCTCAAAGTGGGGAATGGAGGACATGATTTTACAAGAACGCAGGTTGGGTCAGGTCATTCAAGGTCATGATCTGGATTACATCAGACAGAGAAAGAGAGAGAGAGAGAGGCAAGTGGAGAATGTCAGACAAATTTGCCAAACAAACATCTCTCATGGGCTGGAATGCGTCGTACTAACTGCATAAGCATAGCAAATGAGAGTGAAGAATAAAAACATGATGTCTTCCCCACACCACATCCTACCACAGGATTCATTTGAGAGTGAAGTAGCATTTAAATAAGTCATTCCTGAATTCTGTTGCATGAGACAGAAATGAAATATTTATAGGACAAGATATAAAAAAAAAAAAAAACAAGAAGGAAACATCTCTCATTTATGGTACCTGAAACAAGGGAAAAGCAATAAAAAGCAAATGCAGATATATATATATAGATCTGTATAATGGACGTAGTTCACAGTTCGCAGGACATATATCATACAGGTGGTTAAGTTCTCAACATGACCATGCAAACACGTCATTATCCAATAAACGAACTGAAACCTCAAAAATTGAATAATACTCTACTATGTATATGTTTTCTCAAGTTTTGTTCCTCACTTTCAAATGAACTAAGTAGTGTATCATCACCTGCAGTCATAATCATATATTATTGTCATCTCTCATATCGCATGCCGCGATCTCCGTAAATCAATCTCAACAAGAATAATAATACTCCTCTAGTTGAATTCTTGCAATTGCCGACCCCTTAATTACGCGTTTAGAAGAAAAAGGGACGATGAAAGGACATCTGATGCAAAATGCAGCAGAAAGTAACATGCAGCCAACTGGAAAATTGCCCTTTCAGTGGGCTTACGTCCATATATAGCTACTCTTCTAAAGATGTCAGACGTGAAAGATAGCAGGACCCTTTATAAATATATATATATATATATATATATTTTTCCGATGAACAGAGAATGTCCCAAATTCAATCACCCCAAGTTGTGGGGTCCTTCGTACTTATTTTGTTACGGAATGTGGGCGGGCGTTGCAAATTCAAGGACATAATCATGCATGCGATTGCGTGGAAAGGAAATGAATCAACGATCTACATAATCCGATTCTCATCCATTCAGAGGAGAGGAAAGGAAAGCAAAGGAATAGACCACCATCCACTTTTGTGTAGTAGATTTTGTGGACAACTGAATATCACGATGATCTGGAATTGGGTTTCACCTTTAATTTCAAAATGAACAAGCTGAGGAAATCCAGTAGAAATGATCATCTGTCATAGGTTTTCTTTCCATATTCGGGATTCGGGGGGGCTGCTAGCCAACCGTGATTCACGGTCTAGAATAAACCAACCGAACGAGTTTGGCTTGATTCGGGCCATTAATATCAAAAAAAAAAAATTTTTTTTTTTTGCGATCGAAAATGGTAGGCACCAACCACAGCCACAGGTCCCAAAATATTTGTTCATCAAAGAATCAGAGCCATATGATATGTGATGGAGTAACTAACTACATAATGAGCTAGAGGCTACGCTGTGTGTTGGAAGGCAAGATTGCAACATTGATGAGATATTTTCTGAAAATCATATAATGCGGTGGAAATTTGAGCTTGGATGTAGCTGGAACGGCTTGCTTCTCTGCTGCTCCCATATATCACAATGCTGGTGAAGCATCAAAAAGTTTGAACTTTTAATACTCAAATCTATTGAAGAGGTTGGCTAGGCTAGTCATGATGACCTCTCAAAAAAGAAAAAAAGATAAAGTTTGCGAGCATGTCAATACTCTATTAGCTTTTTCTCTTTTTTGCATGCCTGTTTGCCCCCACACACACACACACACACAGAGGAGAGAGAGAGAGAGAGAGAGAGAGAGAGAGAGGCAAGCCGATGCTTGTTTAATGGATCTTTAATAATAATAATATTTTTCCCAAGGGATAATGGATCTCGAGTAATAATTTCCCCCAAATTCTGTTTAAAACATCTTGTTTGTTTGGATTGAGCATTATTTCTTTAATTTTATTTACTTATATCATCATTATAATTTTCAATATACTGTTTTATCTTCTCAATTATCTTTTTATCTCACATACATCACGTCACAAAAGTGCTACAGTAAAAATATTTCAAATAACTTACAATCCAAACAAACCCCATTTTCTCTACTGATTTTTATTTTCTTTTTGTGTTAGTAAAATAAAATTATTTTTTTAAAAAAAGTTACAACAGTTCAGGTTTAAACGAGTGCTGTTAAATTCGTATAATTCCAATGGACGTGTAGCAATTGAAAATTGAAACTCTAAATTTTGATCCGTACTGGGCTGAAAAGAAATTGCTAATTTGGCCTTTAATTTCCACAGGAATTCTCTCGCAGGGTGTTGAAAAAACGCCTCTGCGAGGAAAAGATTCATAACAAATTAATTTATAGTACAATTTTATCCCAGAAAATAAATTCTTGGGTACGGTGTTAGCTTCACTAAATCAAGAAACCCCAGAATGGGTTCCCCCAAAAAAAAAAAATAAAAAAAAATCCAACAATGCTGAAGATGATGGATGAGAAGAGTTGCTAAAAAAAGAGAAGCTGAGACTAGCTACTACTGCTGCTAGCTTCGTCTTGCTTGTGCCATCTCTCCTCATTCACCAAAGAGGTCACCGGTTAATGATCACTTGATTATACTACTAGCCTACTACTATATTATAAGCTAAGCAAGCTCTCTTAATTTCACCGGAGCATTGATGTTAGAGATCGGAAAACAACTTCTTCGCAAGGAATGGTGAGGCCCATGTCATGATCAAACCCAAACTCCTCCTCGGCGCGACGAAGAAGGCATTGGAACTCTGGATGAGTCAAAAATGAAATGGGCACAATGTATCTGCTCCTGTTTTCGCCTACATAAACGGCAAAGTGCCCTTTAGGCACGTCAAGCGGCAGTCCATCTTCATCGTACCCGTGTTTCTTTCCCAAACTCGAGCATCTTTTCAAGATTTGCTTTATCACGGCTGCTTGTGGGAGCTTGCTGCTTGATTTTCTGATGGCCATGCTTATGATTTGCTCGTTCGTAGCTAGTGGTGACAAAGTTGAAGCGAAGAAATTGAAGAATTTGGTAGCAACTCTAGCTAGTGAAGAGTGGGGAGGGGGAGGAATGCACTACACTTTGCTAGAGAGATGAATACTGGTGATGAGGATTGAGGAATGGGGACGGAAATGGAGAGGTATATATGAAGAGGAAGGAGCGTTTCGGGGTCATGGGGGGTCCTGCGGATGCGTAGGAGCAATGGGACAGACCACGGGTGCGGTTTTGGGGATTATTTATGTGTGTGAATGTGAGAAAAAAGGGACAGTGGGGCGTGGGACAAGAAGCCCGTCGGGCGTCCGTTGTTCTGTTGGTCCCTGGTACAACAATACGGCCCCCCTTTCAAATTTCTTTCTTGCTATTGACAGGAGGGATTCATAAATTCTTCCTCTTCATCCAAAATTTTTAGTTGGAGCTAGCCACTAGTAATAACTAATAAATAGCAGCAGCCAGCAGGAATCAATAAGTTAGTGCCAGGCCCTTTTCATTCATATTATTTAGGCTCTGCAAGAGTCGATCCGAGGAGTGTTGCTTGGGTATATTTGGTTTATGATGGTGCAGTTTTGATTTGATGAGCAAAATTGCCGGTGCTGTTCATTCTAGCCATTAACGTAGCTTTCACTGTTGGAATTTGGTACCAAATCTTCAACATGGATGCAAGACATTTCATCGATCTGCTTCTATTTCCAACATTGTGTCTGGTCTCTACTCTGCACTATTGGCATCAACATTTACTGCTACTACTGAGACTTTCAATTTAATGACCACATCTCTATTCGAGTGGCTGCCACTTGCACTTGTCTTAAATAGGAGTACTGAAATGTTCGAAGGAATTACTTAATAAACAACGGAAGCCTATTACTTTACTATATCTACTAGTTTTGTACCCGTCGTTGAACGGGAATCGTTGAAAAATAATAAATTTTAGTCAATTTATAAAAATGTCGATATAAAATACATATTTAATGTATAATCTATTATAACTTGTCTTAAGTATATTACTATGTGCGCATTGTAATGTAAAATATTTTTATAACATAAATTTGAACATCTAATTCAGTGAATAATAATTCAAAAATAGAAAAAATAACATTCAACAATACCATAACATTCAAAAACTTGAAAATAAATAAAAAGTGCAGTAAATAGTATCAAATAATATTCTACTATTCAGAAACTTGTTTTTATTTTTTTCTGTTTGAACATTCTCCTCGATTTGTCCGTGCAAATCAGCATTTATTGATTTTCTATTGTCACTACATGATAGCAAAGTAGGATAACTAAGTATAAAAAAAAATAAATAATTTATCGCATTTAAGTTTGTGTATAACAATACGTAAAAATTATAACTAAGTAAACGGCCAGAGTCTTTTAATTAACTAATGAATTTGCAGATATATCTAATAGAGATATTTATGTCTCTTGTATTTATATCACATTACTTTCCGGTGCCTTTTATTTTTTGTTGTTTTTCCTAAAGACAAATTAACAAACATCGTAGTATATGATCACAAAAATCAATTAACAAATATGTTAGAAAAAATCCTACAAAAATAACGATAAAAGTACTTGTTTAAATCCTATGTCTTCATACAAAACAAATAGAAAATAAAAAAAAATTCAAGATATGTTACTAAACTATTACAATTGAAGATCAACATGCCTTTTTAATATATATATATATTGAAAGAAGATGTACCTGATAATCAAGAGAAATGGAAATTCAAAATCGATACTTTAATATGCCAACCACTTGCACTGAAAATATCTAACCATGAATTTGATGCTTGAAATCAATATATTAGAGGCTATATGTAGTGTAGACATAGGAAATAAGAATACAAAGAAATATTGATAAGAACATTAAAAGTATGTTTATCTTAATTTAAGTTGTTTAAAGTACGTAACTTTGGGTAGGAAATAAGAATCCTATAATATTAAGAATTCTTATAGGAAATAAAATCATAATTGTCCAAATAATTTTGGGTAGGAAAAAACACCTTATGTGACCCGTACTATGCACGTATATAAACTTGTACGTAATAAATTTACAAATGCGTTATCAAGATAGATATTACCTGTGACAGCCCCATCTCACCCTAAGGCGAACCAAAGGGTTCGGCGGACAGCCTGCCCAACTCTCGCCGGGACTCAGTCGTTCACTACGGTTCTCAAATAAATTACAATATAAAATTAGGGCAATTTACGGTTCTCACACTCATTTTTTTTTCGGGGGCGTCACAAACTCCCCCCTTAAAAGAATGTCGTCCTCGACATTCCATCTTGTACTAATCAAGTCAAGACATCCCGCAAGAATCTCTGATATTTCAAACCAAATCCACAGTCCGGCATCCTAAACCTTATGCCTAGGATACATTACAGGAATTTGAAACCTAAGCTCTGATACCAACTGTGACAGCCCCACCTCACCCTAAGGCGAACCAAATGGTTCGGCGGGGCGCCTGCCCAACTATCGTCGGGACTCAGTCGTTCACTACAGTTTTCAAATAAATTACAATATAAAATTAGGGCAATTTACGGTCCTCACACTCATTTTTTTTTCGAGGCGTCACATTACCAACCTTAAAAGACCACCTCTACTATATCGAGTCCTTTAAGTATATGGACTCCTATGATGTGGGTCCACACAGAAATACTCCTCACCATCTGGGTAGAGATGTATTGTGATTAAAGAATTATTAGCAGAAATATATTTAAAAAAAAAACGGCCGGAGGACACTACGGACGGAGGGCTTTCTCTTGGATTGGAGGACACTACGGATGGAGGGTCGGGTAAGGGTCTTCGGGATGCAAAACTTCAACATTAAAAGTACATGTATCATTTTCAAACCACATAACTAACTTTCAAGTACATGTATTATTTTCAAACCTACAATTTTTTGAAATACATGTTGATAAGAGTATGAAACAACATTAAAAGTTTGATGTAGTGTTACTGATGGAACTCACCAACTGCATAGGTATCGAGCAAAATCTAAACTGTAATTGATATATAATTTGTTAGCTCCAATTGTACAAAGTGATGGTCCTGCATAGTATGGTTATATTCGATAAAAAACTATTCAAATTATATAGAGTATAAGTAAAAGCATTTGATTTACTTCTGAAATTTCGTACGCAAATACCACATGCTAGTAAAATATTATTTTTTTGTAGCAGACTGATATTATAGGATTTGTAGTATATTCAATAACTTGATACTCAAATCACCGATGAGACAAAGTTTGTCTAAATAAGTTTTACAGTATCCTAACTCCTTGCAAAAAAAAAAAAAACACTAAATAGTCCTAATTGGCATCGCAAGTTACGGCAACGTGCCAGTGCCATCTAGGCTTAATGTTTTTTTAGGTCAAAATCTAGTCCTAATTGGTTCTGCTGTTTCTTGATCATGTTGTATGCTTGCGAATTAAAATTGTATTAAAATAGCATATGAATAAACATTTGTCTTTAATTAATGAGTGAAAAGGATTTAAAGTATAAGTAACAAACTATAAACGGTTTATGAAGTAGATAATGGAAAAGTTTTAAATTTTAAATTTGACAGGTGATAGGGTTGGTTATAATCCACTACTTTTTATGTATTAAAATAAATACAAAAATTTATAACCCACTGCTTGTTACGTTTTTGGGATTTCTTTTAGGGTTAAATATAGTAAACCCCTTGACTTTGCATTTACCTGCACTTTACCCCCTCAACTTTACATTTAGTTGCACATTTGTGATTTTTTTTTGAATCGTGATTGTAATTTGCAAAGTTCATTTGTAGGGGTGGTATATAGGGTTAGTGTGGTGACAAATATTTCTTAATTATAAAAATGTAATATTGTATTAAAATAGCATATGAATGAGCATTTGTCTTTAATTAAGAAGTAAAAAGAATTTAAAGTATAAATAACAAACTGTAAACCGTTTATGAAGTAGATAGTGGGAATGTTTTAAATTTTAAATTTGATTGGTGATAGGGTTAGTTATAACTTATAACCCATTACTTTTTGTGTATTAAAATAAATACAAAAATCTAGAAAAAAGAATGAGAAGTTTGGAAGTCATTGGGAAGGTCTCTGCTAAAAATCCCTTCTGCAATACATATAGATATAGATATAGATACTACTCCCTCCGTCCCACTTTGATAGTCCTGTTTTTTTTTTTCACACAGTTTAAGAAAAAGTGATTAATTTTGTTGAAAAAGTAAATTTAGATTGCTATTTTTTTAAAATATCCTCACATTTAATAGAGTACAATTTTATGGGAACTTGAATTGATAGTAAAAAAATAATCAACTCTCATTAAATGGAATAAGTTTATAGTAACAACAACTTACATTAAATAAGGATATTTTAGAAAAATTTAAATACAACTACATTTTTCAATTGGAAAGTGGACTATAATTTGGGACAGACGAAAAAAGAAAAACAGGATTATTAAAGTGGAACGGAGGGAGCATTATTTATCGTTATGTTAGCGTATAGATTTATTACGTTAGTATCCATATTGCATGCATCGTACAATTGGAATTAATGATAACACAAGCCTTTGATCCGCACATTTACTGGGGTGGTTGAAGGGCTGCTTTACGAGAGACCGGTGGGGGCGGGGAGAGAGAGAGAGAGAGAGGAGAGAGAGTCAGAAATCACGGACCATCGATAACTGTAGTGTACTGAGGAGTACGAAGTACGAACAACTGGTTTTGGTGTTTTGTGACTGTTGGGCTTGTGATTCTTCCACTAACTGTCAGAATAAGGGGAAAGAGAGATAACTAAACTAAACTAAACCAAACAAATACTAGTAGTAGATTTTGCAGAAATTCATGTGGCGAATCCGAATCTATCTTTTGCAGGTTTGACGCCAGTGGTAGTGCATAGCAAAACAAAGACGTTAAATAATTGCCCATTCATTCGTTCAAAGACGTTAAACAAAGGCGTCAAGGAATTTACTGTAGTTTAGTTCATACAGAAGCCAGAAAGAAAAATTGATGGTGGCATCTGATGTGAAGAGAAAATTAATGACTGAATTCATTCATTTATTAATCCATCAATATTATGCTTTTCTGTGAATGAATCTGGACTTTTGCCATTCTTTTGTTTCAACTTGAACATGAATGCATGATGCCACATGCAACAATTTGCGTGGAATTAATGGTCTCTTTCGGTACTTGTGTTTGTTTGCGTGGTAGATGATGGGCATGGAATTTTGCAAAATATAACCCTTTTATTTTACACTCCACCCACCGCCATGCCATCAATACTATAGTCAAAATTTTCTCAAATCAACGTACATACGCTCTGGTATTATTTCATTTGTCATAATACTCGCACAACTCGCGTTTAACTAAACTGACTTTTGCTCACTCAGAAAAAGGTGTGTAGTCTAACCACAGAATTTAGTGCTATATATTTCTCCTGTTTGACGTAGTGAACCATCAGACCACGTTCTAAGTTGAGTTGTGATCCAATTGACTGGAAGAAAAATATATGACAAAGCAGCTATTGCTTCGGTCACAGTGATCCCCAGACAGCCAAATTGCTGAATTCTGAATGGGCGTTGGGAGCGCCACATTACAACTTCCAAAACTGAATCTCTCTCTCTCTCTCTCTAGACTATAAGGGTTTTCTACTAAGACCACCACTGAGACCAATTCGTGGGTGAACAACATTAGATAACGCTTGACCTTCAACGTATGTATTTCCTATAACGGAGGATTTACTGCTTTGGGGTTGGGGATCTATTACCATGTGCTGTGGTCCTTGTACTGAACTAGCTACAGCAGCACTGCAGCAGCACCACCGCCACCACCACCAAATAGAATAGTAGTAAGAATCAGATAGCGATCTACAATATGAATGATAAAAAGTTGCATCCCCATGTTCTGAGGCTCATAACTTGAAGCCAGGGACAGGGATAATAATTACCCCCTCTGCCTTCTTTTTGTTTTCTGCTTTATTTTACTAGTACTATCTTTTTACTCCCAAGTCCCAAGTCAATCAATTATAGCCCGCCCACCCAAACGAAAAAAAAAAGAAAAAAAACAATTATATCCCACAATTTCAATTACGAACCTCTTTCAAGTTTCGAGATACCCGGAGATCGGGGAAGCCATTTAATTTAAGGCCTGATTTCTTGCACCAATTCATAATAATAATCCGCAGAAAAAGCGTTCAGTATATATATATATATATATATATATATATATTTGGGCCACACTCTTTTTCTGAGTGGAATCAATATGGAGTTCCCCGAAATAGCCTTTCCACCATCCAGGGGCATTACAATTTCATGATAAACAGAGAAGTTAAGAAAAATATCAAAATGCCAATTTTATCTATCTGTCCTTAACAAACAAAGGTACATTATACATACGGACAGAGATGAAGTACGATAGGCGGCATATGAGACTAAAGAGAAGTTTGAGGTGGTCCCCCCATGTCTCAACAAAAAATGCGGTGATCCGTATCCACATGAATTGATCATCAACCGCGGCTCTATTTAGCATTTTCGAGTTGGAGCCCCCTATTGCACATGAAAGCCATGTTACTCTTGGCCCCCCGCCCCGCCCCACCCAAGGTTTACATAGAATCAACGTATTCACTCACTCGCTCGCAGTGAAATAAAATAGGTTCCTACTGCCCCAAACTCCCTGGCTTAGCCTCTACGATATAGAAGAAATTTCTGTGATTTTTCACTCAATCTAAAAGTGATATATAATCCTTCAATAATCGCTCTCTGAATGGAAATACCAACTACTTCTAACATTAGAAAGATATAAATCCTGTACTAGTTTTACAAGCATTACAAATTCTGTACAAATACTTCTTCGTTTAAGTGTGATTTCACTGTCTTCCACTTTATAGAGCGCAAGTTTAGCCTAAAGGAGAGTGAATCTAAATTGGGAATTAGAAGCCAAATTTTCACTTCTTCTTTACAAATTTATATCCCTCAAGTTTTTACACCAACCCTATTTGATGTTTTTCCATATTCATACCAGCATAAACACTTGCGGCAATCTTGAATGTTGAAAGAGATTCTGATTTGATCAAATTACAGAGAACATGATGAGAGTCTCATTAAAGTGTCACCTCACGTAGTTTTAGGCCTTCTTTTGGCAAGTTATGCTGTTGGTGTTTGCCACAGCATGTCTTGTGTGGTGAAAGAAAAGTAATAAAAAGGAAAAGATATAAAAGTTTCATGCGAGAAACACGGCATTCAAATGTTTTAGCAGTCTTTAACATGGGACGTCTTGTGTGGGAGGGAGAGATATCGGGGACTTTAACCAACAACTTGACCAGCATCAACGATATATTGGCAACTTTCTCTGAATCTACATGTGCATTTAAATCAAAGTCAATTTCTTTCCACATCCTAATAGCCCAACTCAATCAAGTGGTCATCCAATCATATCACCATAGTTATGCGAGTTCTATTCTCCAGTTTCACTTGTGAAGGCAACTTTTCCTGTTGAACTCGAGCACCTCCCACCTATTTTAGACCTGGCTATACGAGTAGTAAATATATCAGCATCTCAGAGTAACTTCCTTTTTCTCTATACATTCTTCAGAGATACAGACAGAATTATAATCATTAAAAGCAACCTTATCAAGCCAAGACAGCAACAACTATCCTCCAACTCTTTAGGCGTAACAAGAAGATCAGGGATTGGGGTACATCAACTTGCTAGAAAATGTCATGGTTTCATCTACATCACGCCCAGCAGTAAGGATGATTTTAGGTGCACTAGCTTCCCTTAGTTTTGAAGATCCTAGCACATGACAGTCAGCAATACCTTCAAGCATTTTTAGGTTTTACTCTGTAATGATTGTCACATATGGAATATTGGATGAAATAAGTATTTCTTCTGGTTGCCAAAATTATTCGATCATTAACTCCAAAACAGGGAGAGAGAGAGCATCATCCAGATCTCTACTAAAATGCACTTGCTATTGTTGAATTGTTGCAGTTCTTAAAATGGGACAAAAGGTATGCACAAGTAGTGCACACAGCTCTCCATTAACGTAGTTAATCTAACAATCGAGAGGCCATAAGTGAATAAAGGCAACTCTCAGATGATATACTGTCTGAATCTAAATGATTTATTTTTAAGGTCAAGATTGAAGAATACTGAGTAACAATTCCTATTGATGCTCAAAAAAAAAAAAGAAAAAGAAAAAGAAAAAACTTCTATTGTCCAAGTAGATCAAAGAATAAATCAAGGGATTCACATTCCATCTATTATTAGTCAAATGCCTTGCGTCACAATGAGGATGCAGCATTTATCAACGCAGATGAACAAGACTGAAAGAGTGCAAAAAAGAGAATACAAATGGAAAAAGGGAAGAGAAAGCATGAATTTCCCATCTATGAAAAAATTTATAAACATAGCATTATTCATATTATCACAAAATATCAAATTTTCATAATGGCAAAAATTACAATTATGAGAAGTGTGGCATAGGTTTACATGTCAGAGGCAGATTTCAGCTGTTGGTGCTGCCCATCTATCAAACTCAATTGCCTTCTGAGTGTTGCAATATGAGCTTGTACCTATTGCAGTCAAAAGAGCATTTGACAACATTGATCTTATCATACAGATATAAAGAAACCACATACCAGCCAAGCAATTGATAACAAAATACTTCAATGGCAGATATGGACAAGAAAAAAATGCATTCAAAAAGGTTCCCAAATGCTTGACTAATTGAGCACTAAAACCTGCACTGATATTTACTGTACAGAATGCATATAAACTAGATCACAGTTTCAAATCTATGTTTCTTGATCAATGCAAGAAGGAAGTTGGTCAGTTTGTTGATAAAGAAGCACAAAAAAGTGTCTATGCATCAGTAACTATTCAGTGAAATGCAGGTCTTATAATGGTGTCGTCAAAGTTTATGCGGTTCTTATAACCCCGTCGTCAAAGTTCAGAACTCAGCTTCTCAAAGGAACTATGAGTATCTTGTCTTCCAACCACTCCACTGAACGTAGTCGTGACACTCAAATGGGACTAAAATCCATGTCCACCTGGTATTCACTACTATAGCTAAAGCATGTCATCAACTACCAGATGTCACCAGGCATTAAACATAAGTTTTGTCCGGTATAAATCATAATCCAGTTCATTTTCAAAATGTGCACCAGTATGAAAAAAGACCAGAGTTGTATCACATGTTAAGCTACACTACGGGCTCTCCTGTATCAGGTTCCTAATCCTGGTAATACTTGGCAAGGACTTTTACTATACAAACACCTTATACCATGATTAACATATTCAGAAAAAAATAAATATATCCATAAAACATGAATTAAATCTATATCACACAATAAAAGATACTAAATTTTAAAAATTAAAATACAGCAGGACTAATTAACCAAAGTGAAATTCTGAATGAATTCTGGGACGACACAACTTCTATGATAATGAAAAATTGGAGATACATGCCTTAACTGCAGAGACTATTTGATCCGTCTTCATCCTTTGTCCACCCCCAGTCATAAAAGTAGATTACTCTTTAAAAAGAAGAAGCCTCATAACCAAGGCATGAAGCTATGGCATACATAAGAAAGAAACAACAAGAACAGCACTCCAAGAAAAAGAAAAAAGCTCATAGGTAGAATCACCTTATCCAATTAAAAAAAAGAGCCCAAATCCCACCTCTCTTTATTGTTTAGCTAATTTTAGTGCTGGAAATTCTAGCATCTAACGCTTGCAGATTTCCCAAGCTGTATACATTGAAGGCACAAGTGGTTGTGCAACATTGATCTTAACCCCCTCACACCGAAGAATATGAAAAACCTTGTGCAACAGTGAACCCTAGTAAGCAAACAAGGAGATTGATCTTGGAAGCACATCCAAATCAGATCTCTAGCCATGACATTGAATTTTGATAGAGCAGAAATTATGCCCTTCTTGTTCAAATTTTGCCAAGCGAAAAATACAGATGGGCACACCCATCATAATTCTTCACATTAGTCTACATCATCCACAAATATTGAGTATGTAGTCGTGATAGTATCTTTGATTTTACATCTGGAACTTCATTATCATTGTCTACAGCGTCTACATACTATACCATCAATTAATTTAGACACATGGCTTTTTCAGCATTCAAGCCTTATCATGGGAATTCATCAACTAATACACTATTAAGCTTCTACTAGAACTAATTAGAAACTTGAACTAGTACTTCAAGTCATGCTACGAAGATATTGCCTTCACGTAATTGACAGGTAATAAAACGAGTTGATGTGCATAGGCACTCAAGGGCTTGAAAAAAACTTGACCGGTGAACAAGTCCTATAACCCAACAGAAGAACTAGGAACTCTAAACTGAAATTCACATTAATCTTCCTCTGTTAGTCAATAGAAGATCATAATTGCTGCAAACAGATTTGCAATTAGTTACCAATTTCACTATCTTTACTAATCAGAAAGCTATGTCCTCAAGTTAATTCCCCAAGACAAAACACTCTTGTGAAGTTTTCTGCTTCTAATGGCAAACTGGTTTTGGAAGTTGATAAGAACTCCCTGCTTTTGTCAAAATGAAAGAGATCCTAGATGTGAATTTGGTAATTTAGTTCTCATTGCCCTACTTTAAATTTGTTTTCATTAAACCAATGCATAATTATGTTTTGACTTATTATTGTTCACTACTAATCCTTTAATATTTGATGAGCTAAAGAACTAAACTATCACCATATTATCGTGCATGCTCAACCAATAAGATGCATATCAAACAATAAGATTTGAAGGAGACAGGCATGTGATATTCTCAATGATTTCAAGCAAAACTAATACACTTGCACGAAACAAACTGGTGCACTTTGTCATTCAGCAGAAAGAAAGTTTAATATTTTTGAGAATGTTTATAGTTTAGACAAGCAGGAGGAATTACCAGACCTAAAAAGAAATCAAACTGACCTGCTGACGAGCTGCTGCAAGTTTTAACAGTTCATCAGCCTCTGAGAAATTTGAGAACCACTGACTTAAGGTGTGATCTTTAGTGTCGCCTCTTCTCCTTTTATCTGCATCCTCCAATGGCACTGCAGGTGAACAGGGAGAAACTCAGTACCTAAAAGGACAGTGAAAAGAAAAAGTCCACATATTGTGCGACAGAGAGGGAAAAAGCACCAGGAGGAGGCAAAGCAAAACCAGCGGGCAGTCTAGGCACAACAACAGCTGGGTGATTCTGCACGCGAGAGAAAAAACCTTCTGAAGGCTCAGTAAATACAATTTCATCATAGGATTCCACGACGACTGGTTTTTTGGTGGACATTGGACCAGAATCCTCCTCTGGATACAACTTCAAATGATGGTATCTGTTAGGAGACTAGCATCAGCATCTCAGCCTTTTAACATGGACAACCCAAAACAATATTTCGATTAAGTACAACAAAAATCACAGAGAACAAGAATGTTGAAAAGATTAGGAGAAAGAACATATAATTCTTATGGTTTTATGAAGTTTTTAACTATATAAACAGGATCTACAACCCTGCATTAGCTACCTGAATTTAAGATTTCCAGAGTGTCCAATATACAACACAGAAAGATGATCAAGGGGAGAAACTCACAGGTGCAACGGCTTCTCGCAAACATCATTATGGAAATGAAGGGTTATGACAATTTCAAATTCACCCCACCCTGATTCAGACAGCTCGAAAGGTGGGCCGTCAACAACCCTTGTGGGATTATTAAAGCTGGAATGCAATTGAAAAACAACACGCTTCACTACCACACTGATATCCTCATTCGTTCCTCCTCGAACATAAACAGTCCACTTGTGAGATTGGTACCTAAATAAAACTTTATTATTTACTCAGGCATTTCATCAAACGTTCAGCAGACAACAATAAAACAACGACTTTATCAATACTCACTCGCTAGCCTTCTTACCGAGCCAAAATGCAATATTACCATACACAATAGGCACACTTATTTCCAGCTCTTTGAGCTTCTTAGCTAAGTTCTGCACACATCCCAATAACGACATTAAGGCGGATACGGTGAGAAAGCCCTTGAAACAAAGAATGCCGCAAATTGAGATTTTTAATGCTTCAGTTTAAAATACTGGGAATTCAAAACATTAAACCTTTTTTTCAGTATCATCGGAAGATTTAACCATTTTGGTCCTCTGTGATTTGGAGGCGGGCCCACCAGTGTCCGGCTGATCGGTCCCGTGTTTCTTCGATGATGATGAGCTCTGAGGCATTCTTTCTACGCTGTTCAGGGCTTTTAATCCGGTCTGGGCGAATTGGAGAAGGGCGAGGGTCAGAATAAAAAATCGGCTACGCCCAGGCGTACGATTGATTTGACAGGAGAGGCAAGGGTTCGACCTTGTTTAGGCCTTAGGGGCTTTTTGGTCATTTTGAATAGAACTCGCGCCAACAAGCTGATGCTCTTCCAGGTTTTTGTTGTAAAAACATCCGAGTTAGACAGGAGGATTCCCCTCCCCCACCATTACCGTTGAAAAAGGTCGTGCACGGGCATCGGGTGCATGTTTGAAATCGAAACGTCGACGTTTTGTGCTGTAAACCAACCCTCCGCTTGTGAATAAAAGAAAATTTTCATTTGCTTGGAACTTGAAGCGCAGTCAATCCATTAATGAAAGACTGTAGCTCCCATGGTTCCCTAGTACCAACATCCCATGCTAATTTTTGGCGCTATATTTCTGTCTCTGTCTTATACAGCTTTGAGCTTTCAACTGAAACATTTTTTTTTTAACAGTCAAAGCTACAACTATCTCCTAACTTTTGAAAAGAAAATAGTTCTCTATTTGTCGATCATAAAAAGTCCTGCTTGACCCCGGACTGCCCCTAAAAATGTAAATGATCAGACCTAGAGCTTACTCATTCTGAAAAGTTCACGCTACTATCTTTAAAGAAATCCTTGAACTCGGGGAATTAGAAAAACTTGGAACCGAGTTCACAATCCAAACTTTTCACAGGAACTTTACTGATGATGAGTTCAATGAAGTCTTGTGTCAAATAGGAAATAAACACTTTCCTGAAGAAGCAAATAATCAATCGCATGACCATTCCAAATTCCACCATTACATCTCCTGTATTTTATTTTGGTAATTACACAAGGATTTTCAACAACCAATACATCAATGCTTGCAGTTGAATTTAGCGGCAACCTTTGGTCAATTGCGAGAGTGGTGTGCTTACGAAAATGCTGAGCAAGAGATATTGATCTCCAAAAGCTTTTCTGCAAGTAACTTGGTCACAGTCACTTGATCATCTGCAACAGTGCATCCTCCCAGTTTGTAGTCTAGTACTTTCTTCAGCAACATTCCATGTGACGTTTCTCAGTGACTGAGAAATTTTAAGTGAATTAATATGAATTATCTCCAAGTCATCTACCAACATCTATCCAACTGCATCCAATATCTTTCTTTAGTTTTCTCCCTTTCATCGACTCCCTCAACTGTCCAATTTCGTCCCACATGCCATTGCTGGCATACATGTTAGATAGCAAGACATAGATTCCAGTATTATGAGGCTCCAACTCAAGTGCCCTTTGACCGGCCAATTTACCCAAATCAACATTCCCACACTCACTGCAGGCATTTAGCAAGGTCCCCCACATTGAAACCGTGTATCTGCTATTTCCTTCGCAAGGCATCCCATTTATCAACTTCCATGCCTTCTCCAGCTCACCAGCCCGACACAGCGCATCAACCAAACAGCTATAATGCTCTGGGCTTTGTTTTAATCCAAAGTCGCGAGCCATGGATGCAAAATATTTGAACGCAAGATCCACTTGACCTGTATAACCACAAGCGGAAATGACAGCTAAGAAGGCCACTCCATCGGGCCTAATTCCGTTGATCAACATGTCTCTGAACAACATAATCACTTCTTTGTAATGGCCATGTTTTCCGTAAACTCCCAGCAGTGAAGTCCACAAGACAACATCTCTCTTTCTCTTCCCTTCTTGTCTGAATCCTGCCATACTAAATATGCGTTTAGCCTTCTCTACTAGCCCACACTTGCCATACATTTCAATTAACAAACTCTGCAGAAACACGTCATCCCCAACATTTAAAACTTTACGTATAACACTTGCATGAATCTGCCTGCCCAATCCCGTCGCAGATAGCCCTGCACAAGCCCGCAAAGCAGCAGAAAATGTGAAATTGTCACAATCTAAGTAGAACGCTGGCATTTGCCTAACCAATTCGACTCCCTCACTCCACATCTTAGCATCAGCATAACCTGATAAAAGTGCATTCACACAAACAGTATTCTTCACACGAATTTCATCAAACACCATTGCCGCATCGACAGTGAACAACATTTTCCCGTATAGATCAATCAAAGCACTGGCCACAAAGACGCTACAAAACCACCCTGATTTTTGAACATGGGCGTGAATATTTTTACCGAACCTCATATTATTATCACAAGACGATGACTTTAAAGCGCTGCACAAGGCATACGAGTCTACATGAACGCCATTAAAATGCATGAAAGAGAAGGCATGGAGAGCAAGAGAATGGCACCCATTTTGAGAGAAATGGGAGACAATTGAATTAAAGGGCAATGGGCTTCTGGGGTTAAGGAACTTGAACAAGTTGGTTAATGTTTGAGTGCTGTTTGTGTTAAGGCACGAAGTGTATGTGAAGATGACCTTGGCCTGAAGATTGGGCGAGAAAAAAAGTATACCTGTTCTGAGCAAATGTGCATGAAATTTCTTAACGGCCTTGAGATTTCTTGTTTGGGAGCAGTGGTTTAAGAATTGAGTGATGGGTAGAAAGTTCATCAGAATAGTAGTATGGGCTGGACATGTGGCTTCCCGGCCGTTTGTGCGGATGGTATTATATTTTAGGGTAAGAACAAAAAAGCCCCCAGATGTAGCTATCCTACCCAAAAAAATCTCTCGTGGTTTCAAATCATACGTGTTGATATTTCATAGGTTCCATCGTTAAAATAAATGATTCTGAATGAAATGACAAAAATATTCTAATAATTTAAATAAAAAATGGCCTAAAACAAACCGTTTTTAATTCATTAGTTTCATTCACTAATAATATAAACAAAAATCATCAGTTTCACAAGTTTGGAGCAAAATTGAAGAAAAACCATGGCAGTTTTATTAAGGTCTGAGGGGCAAAATAGATATATTAGGTCAAAATTTGTCTTAAAAAACTATTTTTCAGAGGAACCACGCACAATTCCAGTGCATTTACATCAAACACGTTAGATCCAATGATTTTCATCATAATTTCACTTTACTTTAAAGTATGAGATATCGACGCGCATGATTTGAAATCACATGGGATTTTTCTGTAGGATAGCTATATCAGAGGGGTCCTTACCTGTTTGGATTGCTGAGTTTTTCAAAACTAGTTTTTTAAATACTATTAAAATTTTTAAAAAATATTCTAAAAGGTACTCTAAAAAGTAATCTAAATTTTTTTAATGTTTAAAAAATATTCCAAAATATATTCTAAAAACTCTTCTACTCTTAAATATTTCAAAATATTTTTCTAAAAATATTCCAAAATATACTATAAAAACTATGTTACAGTAGAATTTTTCAAAGACACCTCTAAAAACAGTAATTCAAATGACAGTGACTAAGTTAAACAAATAGGGTAGAAATATACTTACACCGTGCGTATCATTCTAGTATTTGAGACACCAGCTTGCACAGATAAAATTGGTCGGCCTATAAAGTTTTAAGATTGGAGCAACTGAGCAAGTAATGAAAGAACGCACGGAAAAGAAAAGTAGGATGGAGCAGGAACAAATAATAAGCATAAAACCTGCTCTCTCTGCCAAGAGACAGGAGATTATCGATGATTTACTACTGGGAAGCTTTACTGTCTATTTTAAAGAGGTTGCTTGGTCACTTTTACTAGGTTAACTTGCAAAGCTATGTACTCAGTGTTTTTTTTTTTTTTTTTTTTTAACAAAAACCTTTAAGCCAATTTACAGTCTAAATGCAAATAAGCAAAAGAAGAAAGCGATCGAAAATTTTCGAAGCAAGATGATTTAAATATTTTCATCTATTTGATAATAGGTAATATCTACAGCAGTCAGCAGTAGTGCAGAAAAAGAATCTAGTTCTCCTTTGTGCAAAATTGGGTTGAACAGGATTCTGGTTAGCAATGCTAAGATGCGAGTCTCCCATCAGTAAGCTATATAAGCTTCTCTTCTTGCTTAAGGGCCACACAAGTTACAGGTGAGATTGATGAAGGTTTCTTCCTTGCATGGAATTGTCAGAGCTCCCATAGGATGGTGGTATCCAAACTCTTCCTCAGCCTGGCTTAGTAAGTGCTGGGATGAAGGATGGTTAAGGTAGGATAACGGCAGCACATATCTCTTCCAACTAGTTTCCCCTACATAAACAGCAAAGTGGCCTTTCGGTACTTTCGTAGTACCTCCTGGATTTGCAAGAATTCTGTTTAGGATCTGCTTAGCAGGAAAAATTCGAGGCACCGCAACACCCATTATTCTTTGTAAACAACTGAAGTTCTAACTTGATTGACGACACTACTTGTGAATTGCGGATAAGATGCTTCTCTGCTCTGGTTAGGCTAGCGTTGGAGCAGGTATATATATATAATCTATGAAAGAGGAGAAGTTGGTCGCCAATCTTTCGGCGCAGTCAGTATGAAACTTAAAAAACCATGCTTTCTCGTTTTACCACAATATTCAAACTTAACAAAAAGATTAAATGGTTGTCGGAATCTGATTCCATTATCAGCAGCACGTCTATAAGGCTATCAATTTCTTTTCCCTTTTAAATTTTCAGACAGAAAACGCGTGCTTTTCCTTCCCCGGTTAAAATGGATGCTATCAGGCATTGGGGAATAGTGATATGTTTTGGAGTTCTTGAAATGACAAAGAAATGTACAATAACACAATTAAAATCAAATTTAATATGCAAAATCATTGGTCAGTAGAACTTAAAATCAAATTTAACACAATTAACTTATATATTCATTTCAAACAGAAAGCAAAGTTAAAATGAGAATGTCATGTAATGTCTGCACTGAACATGAACATTGTTGAAGCGCCAGTAAAAACCTTTTTCTGAATTTTCTGAGGTAGTAAAGTCTGTCTACCTATCGAATTTTCATTTAGATATTTACAAGGTGACTTTTTCTGACTTTTTGCATGATTTTAGCAAGAAACAATTCCAGTGATGAGAGGAACTGCAACCCAAAGATCAGTAGTTTGAGTAACTCTTAAAACTACAGATATTGAGCATCATATTGACTGAAACACCAACTAGATGGTGGCGAAACCAATTAAGATGTGTCAACCACATATTAAGTAGATAATACGGACACATGCTTTTTGCAACAGAGAGAAATTTACACAACATTTTTTTTTGAGAGAAGATCCACATTCTATTTTCAAGTGGTTGCTTGATCACAACCACTTTTGAAAATGTGCAGCCATGTATTTGCTGCTTCCTGTTTGACTGCAGATACTAATTAACAAACGAAGAAAGGGAAAAATGCTAATATAGAAGTCAATATATTCCATCAAGTAATATTTACACGGCCATCGCCCAAAAGAGAAAAAAAAAAAAAAGATTAGTTTCTCCTTGTACAAAATCGGATTAAACAGATTCTAGTCAAATGTGCTAAGACATACGCCTCCTATTGGTAATCCATATCAGTTTCTCTTCTTGCTTATAGTGAACATAAGTTACAAAGATTGATGAAGATTTCTTCATTGCATGGAATTGTGAGTGCTCCCATTGGATGGCAGAAGCCAAACTCTTCTCCAACCTGGTGTAGTAAGTGGCAAAATGATGGGTGGTTAAGATAGGACACTGGTTTCACGTATATCTTCCAACTGGTTTCACCAACATGAACTGCACAGTGGCCTTTTGGTCTATCTGTACCTTGGGGATTTTCAAGAATTCTATTAAGGATCTGCTTAGCATGAAAAATTCGTGGCGCCTGGATACCCATTATCCTTGGTAAAATACTAAGACTCCAACTCTCGGTTGATACTTGCTGTTTGAAAACAAGAGGTTTTTCTAAGTTGGCTTTGGCTTGTGTTAGAGTAGATATATATACACTATGAGAAAATCAATCTTTAGATATCAGGGAGTGGTGAAAAAAATTCGACATGGTGGTCCAGGCAATAACATATATTATTTGGTCTAACATGGCTGTGCCTTAGCTTCCTGAAATAGACATCAGACCTTGATGGTGGTAATAGATAATTGATGACCTAGGTGCCAGATGCTATTTGCATTAACTTCTCCAGTTGTTTAATTATTTTGTTTTGTTTGATTGCAATGACCAAGTAGCCACATAGATCAAAAGTTTTATAATTTGTTACAACTACTTACAAGCAGAGAAGGTTAGGGTAGTAGGCAAATCACATGAAAATGTTCTTTGGATATAAACTAGTGAAAAGACTAGCATCACTACTTATGCTGAGACAACGAAGGCATATCATGTTGGTTCATGGCTCCACATATTAAGCAAAGCAGGTTGCCTTGCAAAATGGGTTTCAATCTATTCTGACCTGAATTAGTTAGATAATGAGCAGTTGAGCATCACACAGTTCTGCAAGAGACAAACGAGGAGGCATGCCATGTCCATTGGTTGTTCAACATATAGTAAGCAAAATTTCTTACACAAAATATTTTGCATTAGCGTGTTCTTGACATAAAAATAGAGAGGTGATGGAATTATCATTTCGTTGGCAGAGACAAGTAAGGCATATCATGTCCGTTGATGGCTCTACACAGTAATTAGCCAAATTGTTCGCGTGGCAAGTTGGGCAATGTACTGATTGAACCCTGCCATCATCTGCCACTGGCCTAATATGTCTTTACAAAAAAGGGAAATTCAAGGTCTTCAAATTTTCATAACGTATCCAGATTGATGACTTCCAATGTCAAAAGAACTCTAGACTCAATAAATGCATCAGAGAAGTATCTCCTTTTCAAATTATGTAGTCATTAGTAGATAACAAGGCTTCCAGAATCCTACCAAAAACATGCTGTAGAAAATAGGCAAAATGCAGTGATGGAAGACATATTCCCCATCCAAGGAATCCAATGGGAAAAAAATGTCAAAAGGACAAGAACTGCTAGCACAAGTATGAGCATGAATGAAGTGGCTGATATGAATTACTAACCTTCCTTCATTCCATAATATGGTAGCAAGCCTACATGACAACTCGACAAAAATGTTGAAACTTTGAAGTTGAAACCTTTTATGGGAACATGCCACGACATTCCAGGCCACTCTAGCAGTCGTACATGCTCGTGTAGGCATCGTAAACATCAAACTTCTAGTTTGCAATTCATATTAACACAGAGTCATTACAAAGGCAGTAATGAATTATTTACTGGCACAATGTTTATCATGGGAATAACATCAAACAGTTGTCAGTCTTCAAGGTTTTCAGCAAGAGACTCGTAAAACGACCAACGAACCAACTCGAATATTTCCCATTGAGACCAATTTTTTGCTCGCGAGAATTCATGAGCATATTGTTTCTGGGTTCTTTACATTTAGATGGTGAAGAGTTTTAAGAGAAGAATGCCCGTCTGCGCTCTCAAGCTCATGACTCGAAGCTTCTCAAATCAACTGTAAAGAATTTGAAGGGTCTCCGGAAAGCCTCGCCGTTTCAAAGCCAAATCCTTCGTCATCTTGAGTCCTTGACTCAACAATTCTTTCTGTTAAAGGCAACCGTAGGCGGCCAAACGGAATCAGGAATAGGGAAAAAAAACCAGTTATGTGAGGAAGTACATTGTGTACAAAAGAACGCTGTAATGCCCTGTATATCTCTTTGATACAGTCTCAAAATAACTGCAAGGACGAATGGTGAATAAACACAAATTCCATTAGGTACTAAATTTCATCCTCCAACGTTTGCCAAATTTATAAATTACCTTGAGATTACAGTAAGAATTAGCTGGTAAAAAGGTTTTTTAGCCTAATAAATTCTGGTGTGCAATCATTGAACCTCTCAGTCTTGACACTTCAAGTTCAAAAGGGGTCCTCCTTGCTGTATGTTAAAGAAAGTTGTCGGCCCTGCTACACTTCAAAAGGATACGTGGTTCTAAAATCTTGATCATTAGCTGAGCGGTGAAACCATGTGATAATGTTGATGGCTCAATCTCATTACTCCTGTCTTTGATGTCCAAAGAAAGCCTCTTTAGTCTTTACTACATAAACAAAATGGTCATGCTTCTATATATACGCTCATAACTTTCTTGATTAACACAGCTCTTCGTAAAACATCATACAAGCTTTCTTTTTCCTTTAAATCCTTCTATTTTTGTTCGTTTGATTTAATACAAGGAAGCATCTTGTAGAACAATGGCTATCCGTTTGCCCCGTATTATTCAAGCTAAGCAAATTCTTAAGCGCTCTCTGTTGACATCTAATGCTGCCATTTCAGCTTCTGTAGATGTTCCAAGAGGCTATTTAGCGGTTTACGTTGGAGAAAGCAAAAAGAAACGATTTGTGATTCCCGTTGCTTACTTGAATGAGCCTGAATTCCAAGAATTACTAACCCAAGCTGAGGAAGAATTTGGTTTTGATCATCCGATGGGGGGTTTGACAATCCCCTGCAGAGAAGACATTTTCATTGATCTCACTTCTCGCCTGGGTAGAAATATGAGTTAGCCGAGACGGCACGCGGTATTAAACAATACTAGTTGTTAGCTGGTATAGCAAAACACAATTTTTGCACTGTAGAGCAAGCAGATTGTTTTGTACAGTTGCCTTTGAATCAGAGTTGTGAAACTCTTTTACTCAAAAGGTACCATTTCAACAGGATTTGACTTTCCAAACGTGGGGCTTCTGCATCTACGAGTTTTCTTTGATGAATAGCACAAAATTCTATTCCTCAATTATGTAAAAAATCAAACATGGAAAAACCCGTGGTGCTGGTGCCCCAAATATCCCCTCGAGTACCCATAGCTGCCTCTGTAGCATAGAGGTGCGCATTATATATAATTTTTGCTATCACTTCCCTGGTGAAAAGTTTATACACTGCATCATGTCACATTTATTCTCTTCAAATTTTTCGCTTGCAACTGGAGTAAGTATTGTGAGACAGATGAACTGAGGCGAAAAGGAAGAAAATGGACCAAAAAGTTTCATAACCGAAAAGCAAGTATCTTGCATCAGATCTACAACTCCTATATAAACTGAAGAGGTGATTTCTGGCTTGGAGAGCTGCACCGGATGACTGGGGTAATCTCCTAATTGAGGTGCAGTGGCACGGATATTACCTGCTCAGTTTACCAAAGACGGGGCTAAGTTCCTCGGTTTTTCTCTCACGATCTAGCTAGTTTTTTTTACAAACGAAAGTGGAGTAGCGTTCTTAGAAAGGTAATAAGTTTTTCATACCCCTCTTCTTAGTGGGACATGTTGATATTTATATGGGATAGGGTGGAGGGAAAGGACAGTGGGATCCAAGTTCCCATAAATCCGATTGAGACAGCGTATCAGTCTGACTGGACAACTCTGGGTAGTGGACAGTGGGCAGAGTGTGACAGAGGTCCTGTCCACTCTGCAGGTGTCAGGACACTGGATAGGATCTAAGTTGTCATGTCAGATATAACACCACTTCCAGATATTGGGTATGACCACCTCAATCATCCGTGGGCGGAGTATATCCGAAGTGACCAGGACGGGTAGACATCCCCGAGTAGTGAAAACCTTGGCTCGATTGGTCAGGGCCGAGGTGACCATTATTAGACTGACGGGGAATGGGGCTCGGCCGGACTAAGTCGAGTCAGAATGACCATCCTCATAAACCAAATGCACATTTTCAATTGTGACAGTGTAACTAGGAAGTAAGACCAATGAAGACTTTTTCCCTCCATGGCATAGTAAACAACCCCCTCCCAAACCGCCTTCCCCCTCTTCTTCTTCCCGGTATTATACACAAATCCAAACTCTTCTTTCAACTTAGCAAATTCTGGAATCAAGGAGCATTTGGATAAGATTAGAGTATCATGAAGAGGTGATTTCTGTCCTGCTGGGTGAACCTTCCGAACTGAAGGAGTGTTTTGTCCTCGGCAAGACACTAGGACGAGGTCACCTGCTTAGGTTACAGGAGAGACTGAATTCCCTGGTGTAACTCCGATGCTTAAGTTAGTTCGGTAGTGAAAAAGTAATATAGTAAATGAGATCAGTATAGTTTTACCAGAAATTGGTCATCCCGCTTTTTAATAGAGGTGTTGAGTATTTATAGAAGACTGATTTGAAGAGGGATTGCTGGCACGGGTTCCGAGAGATCTGATACGGATATCATATCAATTTGACATGATATCCTTGCGAAAAGGTGCGCCGAAACAGGTATCAGAGTTAGGCGGCGCGTGTGTCAGAACAGCTCTCCGCCAAGTGTCAGATATGTCAGGGGTCACATCATCTTTCCACAGTTGTCAAGTCATTTGGGCATCACCTCGGCTCACGCTTTGAAGATCTCCGCCGAGGTGATAAACGGGGCACGACCACCTCGCTAAGTGACGCGCCGAGGTGGCACTTCCAGTAATCTCGCAGGGTGAGGCCCCAGACTATCCGGGCTGAAACGATCATCCTCATATCACAAAATGTTTCTTGGTTTCTCCAGCATAGAACGCAAAGAGGCCTATTGGTACATAAGAAGCTACTAGTATAGAAAAAACATGCCCCAGAATTCGCATGGCTTGAACAATTTAAGGCATCTTGATAGCCAGCTTAACCATTGTTCTGCAACAGAAGTTTTAGCGGTGTTTGATGTCTCCAAGCTTACAAATTGCAACAAAAGAACTTGCAGCAAAGTTTGGCCACTTTGAACACATATATATGACTAATGACTAGGTATCCCATGACAGTGCCTCCAAACGAAAATGAAACCATGATATGTTCTATGCCACACGTATCCCTTGGCACGTACCTATTAACTTGATGCAGGTGATGTTTTATCTAAGGCCTGTTTGATAATCTAATTTAGCACTTAAATTTAATGGATTCAAATCTTAACATATTCAAGCTATTTGATAATCAAAAATTAAACATCTGAATTAATTAAGTGACACTGAATTTTGTAAGCAAAATTTGTTACTAAAATTAAGTAATAAGTTATTCACTTAGCACTGAATGTAATATGCACTCAAATGTATTAAATTTAATACTTAACAATTCAATAATTTAATGGATTTAGATTTCAGACTTTAGTTTTATCAAATGCATTCTAAGTCTCTGTTAAATTAACTAAGACAGGAGAAGGCATCTGAATTTCCATTCTTCTCATGTGGTGATAATTGGTTTAGAGAAGATGACGCTTTAACTGCAACCCTAAGATAGGAAGGTCTATATTAAGTCCTATGGTACATCAATAATGAGCCATATTAGTCAAAAGATCAAAGCATATGAAACTTAAGTTGGAAAAATATAAACTCTTTACCTGCACAACAAATAATTGAAAAAAAAAAAATTGAGATAGCTTCCATTTGATCTTGGTCTTCCCAAGGCAAGATACCAATACAGAAGGGGCCAAAAAAAACAATCAAATCTGTTTTGAAGATGAATTCCTCCAGAGCTTAGTGAGCACTCTAGCACAATGAATATCTTCTCCAAATGAGACAGTGTCACAAATTAACTTTAGGACAAAGATTACATGCTTCAAAAGACTTCATCTGACGACAGCTTCAACAAAGTACATGCTTTTTAGTGCACACACAGAAATTAAAAATAACACAGCCACTGTGGAGATGAACCGCATTATAAGTTTTGAACCATCACAAAGACTATTAATCAACATTCAATTTCAACGTTGGGGATTCCCTGCAAAGTAAAGTATACTATTACCTCTTAAAAGAATATTACAGAACGATGAATGGCAAGGCTGAGAAAACAATGTGGTCGATAAAGGAGAATTGATTCTGAAGGAGTCAATCCAAAATTGTATCTTTTTTTTGCTATTTAAAGAAAGGATCATGCAATGGGCCTTGGAAGAAGTTGGTTTACAGGAGGATCTATTCTCCAAATTAAAACATCAGCCTTCACTGGCTTTCCACAATATAGATGTTAAAGTGGCCGAGTAGAAGGTTTACCGGGTACTCCGAAGAAACAAAAGAGGTGTAAATTTAACGAAAATTTGAAATTCATGTACTTTTTTTGCAAGCCATCTAACGAGGCGTGATGTTCATCCAGCTCAGGAAGACACGCCTTCACTCAAATCTAGCGGGAAGCCCACTATTCCTGGTCAGTAGAAGACCACGCCTTTTTGTTGTTTGACAAAACTTTCAGCGTAAAGCCTTGAGGTTTCCAAGGGGATTAGTTCACTAACTGCAGTATCATTGGAACTCCAACAATGTTTATTGGAAGCAAAATAATGCTAATCATTCATGTTCTACCGTCAATTTTCAATATGGAATAGAATGAATACAAATTTAATATTCGATCACGCGGCTTCAGGAAAATGAACAAATTGTTTTCAGACTGTTGAGATGGTATTGTGTTGTCCACAATCTTCTATTGCGAAGATTGAAAAAAAGGCTGTACAACAAAAATTGGCTTGCATCAAGCTACAAAAAAGTGCCTAAATTTGCTAGCTTAAGCAGTGCCGAAGTTGTACGTCTGGCTTGGCTAACTCATGCTCCTAGTCAAGCGAGCAGTGATATCAATGAAAGTGTCTTCTCTGCAGGGGATTGTCAGACCTCCTATAGGATGGTCAAACCCAAATTCTTCCTCAGCTCGATTTAACAGGTCTCGGAATGAGGGCTCGTTCAGGTAAGCAATGGGAATCACAAATCGTTTCCTTTCATTTTCTCCAACATATACAGCAAAATATCCCTTTGGGACATCTAGGCAAGCTGTGGCACTGGCAGCAGCATTACATTTTGTGAATGAATACTGCCTAAAAAGTTGCTTAGCTTGAACAATTCGAGGAAGACGGATGGCCATTCTTCAGGCTGGATTATTTCTTGTATAAGATAAGGAAAAAGAAGATTTACTGGACAAAGAAAAAATTAAGTTTATGATTTTAACACTTTTCTGTGCTTATGAATCATGTTTATGAGGATATATATATATATATATATATATAGAAGAATGACAACTTTGTATCAGATGCTTTATGTTGGCCAGGAACGTCATTGATGGATGCCCGAAAGATCTAGATAACAGCAGGCAGGGTGTCACATGGTTTTGTCTCCCAGCTCATGGTCAAGAATTCAGAACCATGTAAATTGGTCAAAGAGTACAGGCAATGATGGAGCCAGGGGGCAGAGGGGGCCATGGCCCCCTAAGTTTTGAGAATTTTAATTCATAATATATAAATGTGTGTAAAATAAAATTGGCCCCCCCCTTAAATTTTTATAATTTAAGTTTATATTATCAGAATTGATATATATATATATATGATTAGTCATCTTTGAATGGAATGGCTTGCAAGCTTTAATTTGCCATGAATATCCATATGCCCGTTACATTCATTGTTTGGCTCATAGGCTTCAATTTGTTTTAGTTGCAGCTTCTAGAGAAGTAGTTTCTGTTCACCAATTCTTCTCCAATTTAGTTTTCATCAACATTGTTACTACATCTAGCAAATGTAATGATGAATTAAAGGAGACTCAAGCAATTGAAATTGCTACTAAGATTGCTAATGGTGAACTTGAAACTGGAAGGGGGCTTAATCAAATTGGCACTTTAAAACGAGCTGGAGATACTCGTTGGGGTTCTCATTTGGATTCTATTTCTAGTTTACTGAAAATGTTAAATGCTACTTGTGTGGTTTTAAGTAACATTGCAGTAGATGGAGGTTCATACTCTCAACGTGGAGATGCAAATTTTGTTT